GCTTTACGTTTTGACTAATATTTATATTAATAAATATTCAAATGTTTTGACTAATAATTGTGCTGAATTATTCAAACGTTTTGACTAATATTTATGTTAATAATCTGTAAAACAGCTCCTATGCATAGAAAAGTACAATCATCAGATGTACTATATATATATTCAAACCGTTTTGTCCTTATATATGCTATTACTTCATGTTTTTGGTTTTCCGTTTTGTCTTGCCTTCAAGCCCTTGTTAATCTCTCAAATTCTCAACGTTTTTTTCATTCTATAGTATATATAGCAGTCCTTAGAACCAATGAAGGTATTTGAAAAAATATATATATGTGTGGAATAAGTTTTGGTAAGCAACATATTGAGAAGATGTGAGTTCGAAGGTTCTTCCACTATGCAAGGAAGAACTTTATCAGAAGAAGGTTTTGGGTTGTTTTATCTTGGGGATAACGTGGTGTTTGCAAATTACTTGCACACTTTGGGTAGAGCCGTGAAACTTCTTAAAGAAAGCGACTTAGTCCACGACTCATCCCAAGAATCATTCACTACCCAAGGCTTCTACATTTTTCGGGTAACTTCGTTCCTTTCTATTTCAGTATTCAACAATTTTAAGATGAATTCAATCTGCCATGCATCATAAGGAAAACTCTGCTTCTTTGGAAAATCTTGTTGAAGAGCAATTGATTGCGATGATATCAGAAATCAACCTAGTTGATGGATCCGAAAGGTGGTGGGTGGACACTGGCGTTTCTCGCCATGTTTGCTATGATCATTCCCTTTTCAAGACCTATTCTGTGGCTGAGGGAAGGAAGGTGTTGTTGGGTGATTCGCACTCAATTAATGTTGCTGGTACTGGAAAGGTGGAGTTGAAGTTCACTTCTGGAAAAACCATGATACTAAAAGATGTGATGCACACTCCAGCGATAAGGAAGAATCTGGTCTCGGACTTTCTTCTCAATAAGGCTGGATTCACTCAAACGTTTGGAGCAGATACGTATACTCTTACTAAAAATGGGGTTTTTGTGGGAAAGGGATATGCTAATATGGAATGTTTCAATTGAATGTTGATAAAATGTCTACTTCTACTTACATGTTGTCTTCTTTTAATACTTGGCATGCTAGACTTTGTCATGTTAACAAACGCTTGATTAAGACCATGATTACCTTAGGCTTTTTACCTAACTTATCTTTGAATGATTTTGAAAAATGTGAATATTGTAGTCAAGCTAAAATCACTAAAACTTCTAATAAATTTGTCAATAGAGATTATGAAACACTTGACTTAATTCATTCTGATATATGCGAATTTGATAGAGTATTAACTAGAAATGGAAAACGTTATTTTATTAACTTTATTGATGATTGTTCGAATTATTGTTTTGTCTATCTTATGAAAAATAAAAGTGAAGCTATTGACATGTTCAAAACTTTCTTGACTGAAGTTGAAAATCAATTTAATCGTAAGACTAAAAGATTTTGTAATGATAGAGGACAAGAATATGAATCTACTGAATTTGTTAATTTGTTTAAGTCTCATGGAATTATTCATGAAACTACTGCTCCTTATTCTCCTGAAATGAATGGTAAAGCGGAAAGAAAAAAATCAAACTCTTTGTGAATTGACTGTTGCTACTTTACTCAGTTCTGGAGCTGCTTCTTATTGGTAGAGTGAAATTGTGTTGGTAGTATGTTATGTGTTAAATAGAATCCCTAACTCAAAAACGAATATTTCTCCTTATGAAATTTGGAAAAATAAGAAACCAAATGTGTTGTATTTCAGAACTTGGGGTTGTTTAGCTTATGTTCATAAACCTGATCCAAAAATATCGAAATTGGCTAGTAAAGCATATGAATGTGTTTTTATTGGTTATGCATGTAATAGCAAAGCATATAGATTTTATGATTTGAAAAATCATGTCATAATTGAGTCACTTGATGCTGATTTTTATGAGAATAATTTTCCTTTTAATCTTCGAAATAGTGGGGGTTCTAATTCTTCTAAAATTTATGAACCTATTGTTGTAGAACGTAGCGAATCTGCATTTGAACCGAGGAAAAGTAAAAAAGCTTGAATAGCTAAAGATTTTGGGCCTGATTTTCGGGTATATAACTTACAAGAAGATCCTAATACAATTCAAGAAGCTTTAACTTATTTAGATGCAGACTTGTGACAAGAAGCTATAAATGATGAAATGGACTCCTTGGAGTCAAATCAAACTTGGCACTTGGTGGATCTTCCACTAGGTTGCAAATGGATTCTTAAAAGAAAATTAAAACCTGACGGTTCAGTTGAAAATTTTAAAGCCCGACTTGGTGCCAAAGGCTATAGACAAGGAGAAAATATAGATTTATTTGATACTTATTCACTGTGACTAGAATAACTTCTATTCGTGATCTTGTTGTGCACGAAATGGATGTTAAAACAGCTTTCTTAAATGGTGAATTAGAGAAAGAAATATATACGGATCAACCAGAGGGTTTTATTATTCCAGGACAAGAAAATAAAGTTTGCAACTTAAATAAATCACTTTATGGATTGAAACAGGCTCCTAAACAATGGCATGCGAAATTTGATAGTTTGGTTACTTCGAATGGTTTTAAAATAAATGAAAGTTTCAAATGCATCTATTATAAGTCTGAAAATAATATATGCACTATAGTATGCCTATATGTGGATGATTTGATCATTTTTGGTTCGAATATTCATGCTATGAATAATGTCCAATCTTTGTTATGTGCTAATTTTGATATGAAAGATTTGGGTGAAGCTAGTGTAATACTTGGTTTGAAAATAACTAGGTCCGAACATGAGTTTTCTTTAGATCAATCTCACTACATGGAAAAAATTTAAGAAAGTATAATTATTTTGATTGTAAAACAGCTTGTACTCCTTATAATCCTAGTGTAAAATTGTTCAAGAACACTGGTGACAGTGTTAAACAATATGAGTATGCGAGTATTATTGGTAGCCTTCGCTATGCTATTGATTGCACTAGGCCTGATATATCTTATGTCGTAGGAGTTTTATGCAGGTTTACTAGTAGACCTAGTTTGGAGCATTGGCATGCTATAGAGAGGCTTATGAGATACCTTAAAAAGACAATGAATTTCATATTACACTATGAGAAGCTTCCTGCTGTCCTAGAAGGTTACAGCGATGCTGATTGGAATACCCTGTCAGATGACTCTAAAACCACTAATGGATATATTTTTAGTATTGTTGGCGGGGCTATGTCATGGAAGTCGAAGAAACAGACTACCTTGGCTCAGTGTACTATGGAGTCAGAATTAATAGCGCTAGCTACGGCAAGCGAAGAAGTAGGATGGTTGAGAAACCTACTGTCAGATACCCTTTTATGGAAGAAACCGATTCCAGCAGTTTTGATCCATTGTGATAGCACAGCGGCAGTAGTTAAAGTGCAAAACCATTATTGTAACGGGAAAATGCGACAAATATGTTGTAAGTATAGCACTGTAAGAGATTATCTCTCTAATGGAGCTGTAAGAGTGGATCATATACGGTCTGAAGAAAATTTGGTTGATCCTTTGACGAAAGGACTAGCACAAGAAAATGTTTGGAAAACCTCGAAAGGGATGGGACCAAAGCCCGTAGAAAATTGAGTCATTTGTGATAGCAACCCAACCTATAGACTGGAGATCCCAAGAAATAGGTTCAAATGGTAATAACAAGTCGCAAGTGATATGAGTGAAGTCTTGCTAATTTTAATTTGGAAAATTATTCCATGTCCATCCCTAAGAAGCATGACATCCAAAAGCGTTTTTAGGTTGAGATTTTTTTCTCCTAGTAAGGTCTATACTCTATGTTGAGTGGGATATCTAGCTACAGGAATATCCTTGATTGTCTTACCAATGTGAATGTGGAAGTGAGGCCGCTTCCTATGAAATATTGGGCAAGTTTCTAGAGCGTTCACTATACTGGGATACAAGCACATGGCCATAATGTGCTGGCTTTTTGAACTTCACCTTAGTAAAGTTATGTGTGTGGTGTTGTCAGCGATAGAGTTCAAAATTATAAGTTATTCTAGTATAATCTGGATCACTAACACTATGTACATGTTCAAGTTGAGAAACACCTTTACTTATGCATAGCTTTATGATATGTTGCTTGATTTACAGTTTTAAACAAAAACAAGTGGAGGATTGTTGGAGTAAATATGTTTTTATTTAAATGTTTAAATATTTGTGTTTTGCTTAATTACCAATATTATATACATAACAGCCAATTTATTTTGATCTTATCAATTAGATAAGGAGTTATCTCCTCTTAAATATGAAACGTGGGAGTCCTTTTCTATATAGAGAAGAAGATCAGGTTATTAAGCATATTCAAACCATTTTGTCTTTTTCATTTTGAATTTGCTTTACGTTTTGAATAATATTTATGTTAATAATCTGTAAAACAGCCCCTATGCATAGAAAAGTACAATCATTAGATGTACTATATATATATATATATTCAAACCGTTCTGTCCTTATATATGCTATTACTTTACGTTTTTGGTTTTCTATTTTGTCCTGCCTTCAAGCCCTCATTAATCTCTCAAATTCTCAACGTTTTTTTTTTTATTCTATAGTATATATTGCAGTGCTTAGAATCAATGAAGGTATTTGAAAAAATATATATATGTGCGGAATAAGTTTTGGTAAGCAACATATTGAGAGGGTGTGAGTTCAAAGGTTCTTCCACTGTGCAAGGAAGAACTTTATCAGAAAAAGGTTCTGGGCTGTTTTATCCTGGGGACGACGTGGTGTTTGTGAACTGCTTGCACACTTTGGGCAGAGCCGCGAAACGTCTTAAAGAAAGCGACTTAGTCCGCGACTCATCCCAAGAATCATTCACTACTCAAGGTTTCTAAATTTTTGGGGTAACTTTGTTCCTTTCTATTTCAGTATTCAACAGTAATCATAGTTCTAGGATTCATGTTTTTATTGGTTTTTTGTGTGTTGAAATGTTGGTTTTGAGTTTCAACTATGCCCTAACCTTTTTCGATCGGGTATAGGGTCTGAAATAACTCATAAATTGGAGTGTTGTCTATCAGCTTCATCTTGTGTTATTGGTCGAGAGTGAGATTGGAGTTAAACAACAGCACTACATCTAATCACACTAATTTTGTTTCATTTATAGTTTTGTGATTCATGTTAAATTTCATCTAAATTTATGTTGGTGGTGACATCTTTATGCTCAATTGCTGCAGCTGGACTCTGTCATTAATTGAATTGGGTTTAAGTAATTTATATAGTGATAATAATTTCTAAACCCTACAGGATCCATCTCTTTTCCACTGGTTGTGTTCTCGAGAGTACCCTAAAAACGAACCTTTCAATCCCCAGCCGTTTCGTCTGTGGATTCTCTCTCTCTCTTATGATTTTGTTTTTTGAATTTAATCGAATTAGCTGCTACATGGACCCTTTCCTCTCCGTCGTTCCCAGTGCTTACCCAGTCCGAGCTGGAATTAAAAAAATAGGCAAACAAAGCTCTGCTAATCTTTTTGTTTTTGGAGGATTTAGATTTTGTAGTGATTAATTAGTTTGCAGGAGAATAAAGTGGTACGAACAAGCATCAAAACAAGAGGATGATTCATGGAGAAAATGACTTGCGGAAATCATTACCTTCGATTAGTCATGTGTTGATGGCTTCAGATTGTACAATCTTTTGATTGGAGTTCAAACCAAAAAAAGACTTATACTTGTAAATGAATCTTCTTGTAAACTTTGTTTTGGGTTATTGTTTTCTTTTAAAATTGTTTTTGGTGTTAAATTGTGTGCCACGTGGGGTCCATTCTTTTTTTGGTCTCTGCTACCCGGCCCCTCTTTCTTTTCCTTTCCTTTTGATACCGTTTGGTACGTGGGACGGAACGGAACGGAGTGGGACGAGGTGTTCTGTTCCATATTTGGTGATCCTAAAATGGATGGAACACGCTATTTCACAGGACGAGTTTTTGGTAAATTTTCGTTCTGCCTCACCCTTTAGAACGACTCGTTCCACATCTATGAAACACAAAATTATAACCACTTCTTCTTCTTTTTCCTCCTCGCTTTCATTTGAGAGCATCTTTGCTCCCTCCTTTCGTTTTTCTCTCTACTTTTATTTTGTATTGAAGAAAAACGATGATACAAAATTCACAAAAATAGATTATTTCCAATAATCAAAGAAAATTAATAAATAAATTAATCGAAGAATAATGGGAAGAGAGGTTCCACCGCAACAGCAGCAGCAGCAGGTGGCGCTCGCAGTGCCAGTGGAGTAGCTGCTCGCTGAGAATCCGTACAACCCCGACATCCTTCCCGATCTCGAAAACTACGTCAACGAGCAAGTATGTATCTCTCCCTCCGTCTCTGTCTCTTCATTGACAAGGAACCGATACTTGGGTTTGATTAATTTTGATTGAACGACTGGGTTTATTTGGTTGTTTTTTCAGGTTTCTTTGCAAGCCTACAGTCTCGATGTCAATCTCTACCATCTTCGCCTCTATCAGATAATTTGAGAATTGGGTTTTTAATTTTAATTGATTTTTGTTTTAGAATTACTGCGAAAGTGAATTCTTTTTAATTGGTTTATGTTTTGCAATCCAGAATTTCCTACAAAGATGAATGTTTTTTAATGGGTTTCAAAAAAAAAAAAAAAAAAAAAAAATGAATGTTTTTTAATTGGTTTTTGTTTTGGATTATATAATTTATTGCAAATTCTTTAGTTGGTTTTTGTTTTAGATTGTATGATTTACTGCAAAGCCGAATTCTTTGTAATTGGTTTTCGATTTTCGATTCTATAATTTTGCAAGCACCGAAGAGTTTGCTGAGCATGATGAACACTTACAACGTCGGCGGAAGCCCCACAGTCTCTTCACCTCTAGCTGTGGCTTTGCAGTCATTCAATCTTTTGGTTCCGTTCCGTCCAACACGTATCAAACGCAGAAAGGAACAACTGTCCTGTTCTGTCATGCGTGTACCAAACGGTACCTTTGGACCTGTGAGTCCCCACTCCTTTTCCCTATTTTGGGATGTGATATCCACACCCTTGATAATTTTTGTCCATTGATCTTATTCAATTCATTTGATCCGACGGTCAAAAATTAAAAAGGTGTGTGAGAAATAAAATGAGATGTGTGGGTATCACACCCCTTTATTTTTCTCAAAAAAAAAAAGCTCTCTCTTTCTCTCTCACTCCAAACTCCCTCTCGGCTTTCTCTATCTTAGCCCCCTCCGAGGGCTTTTCTCACCAACAAACAACACTACAACAACATCAACATGTCGATTAACACCCTAGTGAACTTAGAAACAAAGAAAGAACCCCAAACCCTTCCTTCTCCTTCAGCCGGTACTGTTCATCGTCTTCCCTGACGAGTTTCATGTTTTTCCAACGTTGGTAAGCTTCTAAAAACCCTTGGGATGTGTTTTAGGGTTAGATGGAAGCTTGTTTTAAGTTGTATATACATTTGAATCATAGAAAATAGCTTGGGGAAGCTTTTCCAAATTTTCCGATGAGTACGGCCACTTTCGAAGCGTTTTCCGGCCAAACCATGGTGAGTTATCCGTTGTGCAAGTGACCAATCTCTTCCTCTCGTCGAGTAATACAACTTTACTTTTTGAATCACTCGGTTTGGTTAAGTAATGAAGAAGTTATGGGCATTTGAAGTTTGCCCAGAAACAGGCCGAAACCTTGGCCTAGAAATGGGTCAACCCGAACCATTAACCCAAGCTCATACTTGAACCCAACCCAGATTTCAAACCGGGTCTTCAAGCCCAAATCCTTATAACCCAAAGCCCAAAACCCATTTATTTGTTTTATTTATCCTTTTTAACTTCCAAACCCAAAGACAAGTGGGCAGGGCTTAAAGCCCAAACCCTTTAAACACTTGGACCCCAACCTTTTAGGCCCAACCCGGTTGACCCAAACCCTTGACCCATTGACTTTGACCTGATCTGGCTGTTGACGAGGTCAACGGTCAATGTTGACTGGACTTTGACCCGATTTTCTGGTTTCCATCCGAGACCCCTATTAGGCTAATTTCGATGTCCAAGACCCGTTTTTGACGTCTGTTTTCCCTAAATTCAATCGTTTGAGTATAGTTTTAGTAATTGTACTCTTTATGTGCTTAGATGCAAATAATAGCAACAATTCTGTTATTTCTATTTTGTACGGTTGTGCACCAACGATACAAGGTGAGTGGACTCCATCTAAAATGCATGAAGGGTTGAATACTTTCTACGAAGACTCTGTTCATGTGCGAGCTAATGAACCGTGTATGAAGGGTTGAATACTTGACTTAATTGACTTGCAATGATCACCATAAAAAGGGTAACATGCATACGGTAAATCTTTGCCTGAGCTGCTGAATTCTTTGTGCAGCCATGAATACCAAACCAAACTCAAAGTTCGTGTTCTTCGTTATTTTATTATGTGCATTTCTCGAGTCCCATGTTTCCCTTACAGCTGACACCATCAGCGAAGACCAATCTCTCTCGGGCGATCAAACCATTGTCTCTGCAGGTGGGATGTTTGAGCTAGGTTTCTTCAAACCAGGTCAGCTTTCAAACTACTATATAGGCATATGGTACTCCAAGCAAGTGGTATCTGAGAGGACCGTTGTTTGGGTAGCAAATAGGGAAATACCAGTATCTGATAGATTTTCTTCGGTCTTGAGCATCTTAGATGGTAATTTAGTTCTCTTGAACGAGTCCAAAACCCCGGTTTGGTCAACAAATTTAAACTCCACAACCAATTCTGGTTCTATACAAGCAGTTCTCTTGGATAGCGGAAACCTTGTCCTGAAAGCGGGCTCTAGTAATAATACATCAGAGCCTTTATGGCAAAGCTTTGATCATCCAACCCATACTTCGCTACCAGGAGGTAAACTTGGATTCAACAAAGTTAAAAATCATACCCAAAGTCTCACTTCATGGAAGAATTTGGAGGATCCTGCACCAGGTCTTTACTCTCTTGTGCTAGCTCCGGATGAAAGCAATTCATATATCTTATTGTGGAATAGGTCTAGACAGTATTGGACCACCGGACCATGGAATGAAATTTCGCATACTTTTAACATGGTTCCTGAAATGAGTATATTTGAGATCTGGGCCCTTAATCTCTTCAATTATAGTTATGTTACGAATGAGAACGAAAGTTATTTCACATATTCTTCTAACAATCCTAAAATTGTATCTCAATACTTGTTGTCTGTCTCGGGACAGATTCAGCTACTAAGGATGGAGAATTCCAAGCAGTGGAAATTGTCTTGGTCTCAACCAAGACAGTGCGATGTTTATGCTTATTGTGGGGCTTTCTCCAGTTGCAAACCCACATCCTTGAACTACTGCAAATGTTTGAAGGGCTTTGTGCCAAACCGGCAGAGTGATTGGGACCTGCAGATTTATTCTGGTGGATGTTCAAGAAGAACCGGTGTGAAGTGTGGGAATGCTACGGGAGATGGGTTTCTAAAAGTAAATAGCGAGTCATTCCCTGATAATAGACAATATGAAGGTGCTCTTAGTATTGAAAGTTGTAGATCAGCCTGCTTAAATGAATGCCAGTGCACTGCTTATTCCTATGACCTCAACAATAAATGTATAATCTGTCATGGAGATGTCTTGAATCTGCATGAAGTTGAAGCAAATGACGGTGATGGAAGAACTTTATACATCAGAGCTGCAGCTTCTGATCTCAAGGGAAAACGTAATAATAGTAATAATAGAACGATTATTCGTGTCGCAATTAGTGATCATTATTTTGGCGCCATTATCTTGATGTTGTCAACAAAATCTTTTTCTTCTCTTTGCAGGTGTTATTAAGCCGTCCCTTTTGAGTGCAATAGTCGTAACAATCATTGGTTTGATTGTTGTCATTTTTGGATATTTCTTATGGAAGAAAACTATGGGAAAGAAAAGGTACTGCTACCACCGATCTCATCTCTCTCAGTCTTTCTCTCTCAAACGTGTTCTAACACTACGACTAAAACAGAGAGCATAAGAAGAACCATAATGACCGTAAAAGTAAATTTGATGTTGGAGGTGGAGGTGGAAGGGATGATGCAGAACTGCCGATCTTCGGTTTAAGGGCTGTAGTAGCTGCTACAAACAACTTTGCTGAATCTAATAAACTCGGGGAGGGAGGATTTGGCCCTGTTTACAAGGTGACACTTCCACCATGTGCTTTAAATACAAGTACATTTTTCTTCTCCTGAACACCTTTGTTTATTTTTGACCTAAACAAATATCCAAGGAGAATTAAAGGACAAAAATAAATAGGAGTGTGCAGGAGAAATAAGCTGTGCAAAAATCATTCCCCCTTTCGAAAATATGGTTTTTTTTTTTTTTTTTTTTTTTTTTCTTTGAACTTCAAAAAATATTTTCTCTTGTACGCTTTTCTTCCTCTATACAGGGAATTCTGGCTGAAAATCAAGAAGTAGCCATTAAAAGGTTATCAAAAAAGTCAGGCCAAGGACACCAGGAGTTCATGAATGAGTTAAAACTTATTGCCAAGCTGCAACATACCAATCTCGTTAGGCTCTTGGGTTGCTGTCTTGAAGATGAGGAAATGATATTGATCTACGAGTACATGCCCAATCGGAGTTTAGACAAACTTTTATTTGGTAAATACACGCTAATGACTTATTAATTCTTTGTTTCTGCAAATTATTTTCCTTGTGTGCAAATGTCATGTACTGCAAGATGCACATTATGCACTGTGTCCAACATTTTATCTAAAAATGAAAAGAAAAACACTTGCTCATCTTTCTTCGTGTTTTGTCCAATCAGATGCATCTGAAAAAATTGAATTAAATTGGGGAAGACGTTTTCGAATTATAGAAGGCATTGCTCAAGGAGTACTTTATATTCACAAGTACTCGAGATTGAAAATCATCCACAGGGACCTAAAAGCAAGTAACATATTGTTGGATGGCGCCTTGAACCCCAAAATTTCAGACTTTGGAATGGCAAGGATTTTTGGAATAAATCAGACTGAAGCAAATACAAATAGGGTTGTTGGCACATAGTAAGTCTACATATATCTGGCACATGTTTTCATTCAAGTAATGTACTATTGCTTACTTCTCTACATATTGTCAATCCATGCGCAGTGGCTACATGTCACCCGAGTATGCGAGATATGGTCATTTCTCTGAGAAATTAGATATATTCAGCTTCGGAGTGTTGTTGTTGGAGATTGTAAGCGGAAAGAAGAATGCTGCTTTTTATCGCTTTGAACATTCACCAACTCTTGCTGGATGGGTAAGTACTGAAAAATTATTCCAACTCATGATCATTCTGTTTTTAAGCTTTCCAAATTCGCAAATGACCGTTAAGTTCAACATTTTAATTAGGCATGGGAGTTATGGAAAGATGGAAGAGGAATGGAGGTGATTGATGAATCGGTAAGGGAAACATGTCGGCTCGATGAAGCTTTGAAGTGTATCCATGTAGGGTTTTTGTGTGTTCAAGAAGCTCCAGCTGATCGACCAACAATGTCTTCAGTAATTCTTATGTTGCAAGGCAATGAATCTACATCTCTTCCACCTTCCAAAGAACCTGCCTTTTCAACACACATAAATTCCAATGCTATTCGCTCTTTTGAAATGCCTACCATTTTTTCTCACAACTCAGTCACCATGAGTTTGCTAGAAGGTCGATAGGCGTTGGAAGAGCAGTGACTGGCAAGCAGTTGAGAAAATAGTATAGTATATTAAAATAAACACCCCGACAACTAGCAGTTTTATACAAACACTTCGGGTTCAATTACACATTAGACTGAGTTGTTTGTGCATTTTATAGTTTTTGCCCATTCAAACTAAACCTATAATAGCAGCAAATTAAATTCATGCTATGTATTTTTCAGCTGCAAATGTGGGTGTAACCATACTTCTAGATATGTTCCCACCGCACCCCTTGGTGCAACCGTATTTATATTAATTTAAAATAGAATGTCGCTTGTATTAAAAGAATAAAGAGGAGATTATTTTACATCTTACAACTTTCAGAAGACAAAAACTACAAATAAAATTGGTCTAGAACAAAGGATTTTACATTAGTATATCCATAATGGACGACATGGGTTTTCCTATGGTTGGAATAGAAAATTTGACAATCATTGCATAGAATCTACCGAATGCAAGTTTGGCAACTAGAACTACAAGAAAACTATGTGCCCGATCAGTTTTTTTATCGGCAAGGATTCGAACTTGATGCCTCTTTTAACATTAAAAAGAAAAATATTACTAGAACAGTTGATGCGCCGGATCATGTTAAACTCAACTTTTATTGATGAGAGTATGGGCTGGAGATGATGGGCTCTCGGCAAGCAGATGGGCTGCTCGGCCTGCAAGAATAAATGGATTCGAGCCGTCAACATTCTCTTTGTCAAGTTGAAACACATGCACCAGTCTGCTCAAACTATAGAGGAACTGAATGCACCCTACAGATCAAGTCAATAATAAATCAATTAAATAAACATTTAGTGAATATCACTTCGATCTAGAAATTTTGAGGACCTTGCATAGTTTCACTTACAAGCTACAACAACAAAACAAACCACCGTAAGAGTGTGGATCAACCAACGAATGCACCATTCTAACGGCGTTAATATCGAACAAAGCTCCGCTGCCAGTTCAATTTGAGTCCGATTACCACCAATGTAAGAGTCAGCTTGGTTACAATTAGCACCAGTAAGGACATCAGTTTAATCTCGAACAAAGCTCCGCTGCCAGTTTCGGCATTATTGATCTCCACAACCTTGAAACCCATGATTGTGCTGATTCTTTATTGGGAGAACCCAAAAACACAAACAGAAAAAGAGAAAAATAAAAAAAAATCAGGATTAAACTTGTGTTTGAGAGAGACAACATGAGTATGGTATACCGTATACATATGGAGGACGTACATATAAAATGTGTCCGTTTTGGGGCTTAGATTTTGTGCTTCAAGTTTCTTCTTTTGAGTTTCTCTCATATTTGTTTTCTTTTGTGAGAAGAAAGCATAGACGTGAAAACCAAAGGGGAAAATTAAAAGAAAACTGTTTGGCATTCCTAATATGATTGTTGATTCTCCTACCAGTTTTCGATCGATTGGCTTTGGACAACTTGTAAACTCGTATTCTTTCTCTTTTCTTTTGTTCTTCAGTTATCAAACATTCATATCGATTCACGATATGAATGGTTCGATCGCTATTAACACTTTAGTCTTTATAATTCTAAAAGTCGAGTTCTTGTCTCATGGCTTAAATTGCTAAATAAGAATGTTGTAGGCAAGGTAGGTAACATTGTTTCTTGTTACTTTTTTCTACCTGATTTGGTTTCCCGTATATTTTGGGTCCCTACAATTGTGAAGTTACCCAATTTGATGCAAAATGGAGGCCGGGTACCTATGCTTCTTGTTTTGGAGAGATAGTCTCATTTATCCAATTAAATGTATCATTTACCGATCTTTTATTGAATAAAAGATTTACTTTTTAAAAACATAAACAACGTGATAATGAGTTATTTTATTTTATTTTAGCCAATTAATGAATAATACAGTTGCTCCGCTACAAACTCTCTTCTCCGGTTGAGTGATCTGAGGAAGCAGTCTCTTCTCACTTAATCAGCCTCTCAATTCTGGTCAACTTTTCCCAAATGACGATCTTGTCCCTTCTTCACCAGAGCTTCAAGAGCTTTCAATGGCCACCCTGTTGCCTCCAAGCTTCTGGTTCTCAATTTTCTTGCTTACCATCTTATTTTCTTTTCGATCTGTTTGGCTTCTGAGAAAATGCATGACCAGAAAATAAAAAATTCTAAGGTACGCGTGTTGGTCATCGTGAAAGGGGAAGGAGAAGCTACGCTTTTTCCAGTTACTTCCATTCACTGATCTCAGAAGGGGAGCCCCCTTTCCGCTCTCCTCTCCTCTCCTCTCCTCTCATCTCTCACTCTTCCTCTCTCATTCTCTACTGGAAAATCCATAATCTTTCATCTTCCTCTGCTCTTCCATTCTCTCCGCTCCCCATATATCTCTCCGTGGAGCGTACAAACCAAGTAGTGACGGTCGACAAGCTTCAAACATGGCGGACGCGTACTGGAGGTACAGCGATGGTGGACAACCGCCGCCGTCGTCGACGAATTCAGACATCGGAAAGCGTCCGCTAAATTTTCAGAATTTGGATAAATTTTTTTTATTATGTATTCTGATATTGTTTTGTGAATTTTTCGCGATGATTACAAATTATCCGCGCTTCTGAGAGCAATCGATGAAGTAGAATGCGATAATCAATGGTTGAATTTCTTGATATGAGCCATTCAAGTTTTTGATTTGCTGATTTAGGTTGGTGATATTTTTGGGTTTTGTTGATTAATGTTGGCGGTGATGACGAAATTTTACAGCTTTATGCCAGTTCTGCTTCAGAAAATTCGTGATTGAGAGAGCTGTTTCATAGTCTGAGCCTTTTGTTGAGTAAACCAAAGTCTGTCATCAGTCCCTTGATTCAAGGAGTCCATTCCCTTGATTACTGTACAGTTATCTCAGATTGCTTTTCATCTACTTAGGAGTCTAACTCACGTAATGTGACATCTCACATCGTTTAGGGGAGTGATCCTTAAATGTATATTCTTATCCCTACCTAGCACGAGGCTTTTTGGGAGCTCACTGGCTTCGGGTTCCGTAGGAACTCCGAAGTTAAGCGAGAAGGGGGCTAGAGCAATCCCATGATGGGTGACCCACTGGGAAGTTGCTCGTGAGTTTCCAAAAACAAAACCGTGAGGGAATGGTAAGCCCAAAGCGGACAATATCGTGTTACGGTGGTGGAGCAGGCCCGGGCCGCCCCGGGCCGGGATGTGACAATTTGGTATCAGAGCCGAACCCTGGTCGTGGTGTGCCGACGAGGACGTCGGGCCTCTAAGGGGGGTGGATTGTGACATCCCACATCGCCTAGGGGAGTAATCCTTAAATGTATATTCCCATCCCTACCTAGCACGAGGCCTTTTGGGAGCTCACTGGCTTCGGGTTCCGTAGGAACTCCGAAGTTAAGCGAGAAGGGGGCTAGAGCAATCTCATGATGGGTGACCCACTGGGAAGTTGCTCGTGAGTTCCCAAAAACAAAACTGTGAGGGAATGGTAAGCCCAAAGCGGACAATATCATGTTACGATGGTGGAGCGGGCCTGGGAAGTGATCCGTCCCGGGCCGGGATGTGACACGTAATAGCTTGTATAAGCCTTAATTTCAGGATCTTGATTGATCCATGTATCTGTATAAGTCTCTCTTTGTACCAATTACTTTTCACTCAATTAATGAAAACAAGTTACAAAGCAGGTTTTCACATGGTATCAGAGCACAGCTTCTTTGATAACCTGATAACCTAAAATCCTTGGCGTTCGAACACACCAAGAAGTTATAGCATTTTGCTCCTCGCAGACATGGCAACCGACTCTTCTAGCAAACACACCAAATACGAAGATCCCAGCGATCCTCTTTATCTTCATCACCCTGATTAGCTTGGAGCGATTCTCGTCACACAACCGTTGAATGATGAAAATTACTCCACTTGGAGCCGAGCCATGGCCATGGCCCTCAATGCCAAGAACAAGGAAGGATTCATCAACAAAACCATTAAAAAGCCTGAGTCGGCATCCACAATTGAATCCCAACAGTGGACTCGTGGCAACAACCTCGTGAAATCCTGGCTGCTCAACTGTGTCTCCAAAGATATCAGAGCAAGTGTCATCTACAACAATGTTGCAGTTGATATTTGGAATGAGTTGAAAGAACAAATCTCTCACACAAATAGTGTACATCTCTTCCATATCGAACAAGAGATACATGGAAGTGTTCAAGGAAATTTGAACATTGGTGCATATTATACCAAATTGAAAAGCTTTTGGGATGAACATGATGCCCTGTGCACTCTCCCAACCTGTGCATGTGGAGCTGCGAAAGAATTGATGCAGTTTCAGCAAAGTCAGAAAACCATGAAGTTTCTCATGGGTCTCAATGAATCCTACGCTACAGTTCGTGGGCAACTTTTACTTATGGATTCTCTCCCTGCTATCAACAAAAATTTCTCACTCATTATTCAAGATAAGAAGCAGAGAGCAGTTTCAACACATGCTTCTGGAAGGTCTTCAGTCACCGATGCCGCATATTTCGCCGTGCAGGACAACCTGCGAAACTCTGGTAGGATTTTTTCTGACACGCCCCGACCCCGAGGTCCTAGGGACATCGAGATGGTCATGTGCTGGCCGACACCCAAAGGGTGATGAAACCATTTAATTAAAACAAAAACTGAGAAAAAAAATAAACTAAAGTACGCAATAAAGGCTAAAAACCCAAATAAAAGTTCAACTTCTAAATATTGAAATTAGGTAAACACACAGCACGTCCAGAGCATAATTCTAATACAGAGTACAAGCAGAACTAAGAATAAAGAAGTGCTATTACAATAGGTGGCGAAACGGAGCGAATATGACACAAATCACTGGTAGGGGAACGCCTCATAGCTTAGGTCGTAATCCTCGTTCCTAGGTCCTGAAGGGGGCGCAAAACAAAGGTGAGTGGACCAAGTTTATATACAGTAATAGTAAAACAGTTATCAACATACTAACCCCCTAGATTTTATGAAAACACAAGTATAATGAGAACATAGGTTTTCCGAAATCTAGCATGTCGTGCAATGTCTCAAATCATCAATCGCATAAATAGTAAACACTAGTGAATGTCTGATATAACACTTCAGGCCCCATGCCGGCTCCCCGTCTCTGAGCAGACAGTCAGAGGAAAATACACTTCAGGCCCCTTATCGGCTCCCCGTCTTTGAGCAGACAGTCAGACGAAAACACACTTCAGGCCCTATGCCAATACGAAACCGTCGCCCGGGACGGACCGGATCTATCCCTACGTCCCGTAGCGGAAAGGACCACTAGGTAAGTACAAAACCAGTGAACATACATATATTGAAAATCAACTTCATAGTATAAAGTCATCCATCATCTATACTATAAAGAAGTGTTCTAAACATGTTCTAAATATCATATCATCATCCATCAGATATTCTATAAGAACATGGGTTATAGGAAAAATAGTAATAATTCAAACTAGCCTCAGTAAGCATATTATCTCAAAATGTTTCATAAAACATAATCGTAAAGTCATGCTTTTCTGTGTATGCAATTCTACCATTAAAATATGCATTTTTAGAAGGGGTCCACTCACCGTACACCGATGGTGCAAGCCGTACCAAATAGGAATAACGAAATCTCCGCTAAGAATCGCACCTAAACACACAATTGTTACTTTCAGTCAAACTCTACTCAAACAATTGAATTTGGGAAAACGGACATCAGAAACGGGTTCAGAACGTCGAAATTAGCCTAGGAGGGGTCCCACACGAAAACCCAAAAAGTCAACGGTCAAAGTCAACGTTGACCGTTGACCGGTCAAAGTCAAAGTCAACTCTGACCGTTGACCGGGTCAACGGTCAACGGGTCACGGGTCATGGGTTTTGGGTTTAGATTTTTAGGTGGGTTGGGTTGGGCTTGAACCCAAACGGCCCAAAGGCCCACAACAGAAAGGGTGATGGGTTTTAGGCTAACAGGCCCTAAGGCCTAATTAAAAAGGGAAAATGGGTTTGGGCTGCAACTAAGGCCCTAAGGCCTTTTGGGTTTTTAAAATGAAACAAAACTAAAAATAAAAATAGAAAGGGTGAGGGTTTTGGGCCAGAAACCAAACAGGCCCTAAGCCCGTGGGGGAAAGGAGAACGGCCCGAAGGCCTGGGTGCCCGGAGAAGAACACCGGAGCTTCCATAGCTCCGGCCAACGCCAAACCTACAACCTAGACCCCGATCTAGGTACCAAAATGAAGCACTAGCCGAGAGGAGTAGTTTTATACCTTGGGTTCGCCGTGAAACGGCTTGTGGTGGCCGGAAAAACCTTCGAACCTCACCCAACTTGCCGGAAATTTGGGTGTGCACTCACCCGTGCCAAAAACACTCCAAAACCTTGGAAATCAAGAACCCAAACTCAAAAACCACATCTAGGCAAAGTCTAACATAAGAAAAGGAGAAGAAAAAGGGCTTACCCAACCAGAAAAATCACAAAACTCGCCGGAGGTGTTCGTATCCTCCCGGTGCCGTGAGCAAGGGAGAGAGAGAGAGATATGCAGTTGAATGGCGATGATGGTGATGATTTCCTCGAGTAGGTGTAGCTGTGGGTGTGTGTGTATGTCTTTCACGGGGAAGAAGAGAGAGAGAAATGGGAGAGTTTTCGAAAGAAGAAGAAGGTGCAGACAAACAAACCAAAGAAAGGAAAAGAAGAAAAAGAAAAAGAAGAAAGAAGGAAAAGAGGGTCACGGCAGGGGGGACAAAAATGAAAAAAGGGAAGTGGGTTAGGGTGTTGCCACGTGGCAGCCTAGGGATAGAGTAATAATTTAAATTTTTAGATCTTAATTGTGTAACAAAATGAGGACCAAAGTGATAATTCTATAAATTTTTAGGGAGAATTACAGAATTATCCTTATAAGCAGGGGCGGGTGTAACATTTTCTCCTAGAAATCCCCATCTAAAATGTGATCGTTATGATGCAACCGAACACACTTCAGATACTTGTCATGCACACCTCAAGTGCGACTACTGTAATTGAAGAGGTCACACCATTGATCAATGCTGCAAACTGAAAAAGGCAAAGGACAACAGTGATAGGGGAGATTATCAAAATCGTAGGGGTTCCAACTCCAAGGCTAATCATGTTGACATCAAGCCAACGCCTCCATCAACATCTCCTTCGTCATACAACCTCACTTTCGAGCAATATCACAACCTGCTTGCGCTCCTTGATAAGAGCCAATCCAACTCCACAGCTAATCATGTCGGTACCACCTCTACTATGAATGATTTATCAAGAAGAGTTTTTTGTGCTTCTGCACTTAATAAGGGAAGGAACTGGATTTTCAATACCGGCACCACAGACCATATGGTTTGCTCACCAAGTTTAATGACCACAAGCATTCCGATATACAATCGACAAGTGCGCCTACCCAATCATGCACTTGCCGATGTCACACATATTGGCACAGTTTGTCTCTCGAATGATCTCGTCCTTCAGAACGTGCTTTGTGTTCCATCATTTAAACTGAATTTAATTTCTGTCAGCAAAACCACCAATACATCATCTTGCTTTGTCATCTTCACTGATAAAATGTATCTACTTCAGGGCCAACGATCGGGGAAGATGATTGGGACGGGAACTGAACGAGAAAGACTTTACTACCTTAACAATGTGACGAAAACCATGTGCAATTCAATGTCAGTTGTTGCTCCTTCTTCTCAGCTTTGGCATAACGCCTTGGCCATCTTTCCAACAAGACCTTACTGGTTATCTCTCCTTGCATTAAAAATTTGAATTTTTGTAGCATTGATGATTGTTTGATCTGTCCATTAGCCAAACAAACACGTGCTCTTTTTCCCTTGAGTTCTATTAATACAAAAGCTCCTTTTGAGTTAATTCATGTTGACATTTGGGGAGGTTACCATGCTCCCACCATCACAGGGGCACAATATTTCTTAACTATTGTGGATGATTTCTCACGGTGCATATGGGTTTATTTAATGAACCACAAATCAAATGCACGATCCTATCTCATTACATTCATTAACCTTGTTGAAACACAATTTTCCACACGAGTTAAGGTTCTTCGTAGTGATAATGGTCCAGAATTTTTTATGACACATATTTTTGTCAGATAAGGGCATTATACATCAAACAAGTTGTGTGTCGACTCCCCAACAAAACGGGGTAGGGGAGCGCAAACACCACCACTTACTCAATGTTGCTAGAGCCTTACTTTTTCAATCTCATCTTCCCAAGAAATTTTGGGGTAATGCAATCCTCACTGCCACTTATCTCATAAATAGGACTCCCACTATTCTTCTTCACGGCAAATCACCCTATGAAATACTTCATCACAAACAGCCAGCCTAAGCACATTTACGAATGTTTGGTTGTTTATGTTTCTCTTCCACACACCACCATCGTCCTACCAAATTTGATGCAAGAGCCACACGTTGTCTTTTTCTTGGCTACCTATACGGCACAAAGGGATATCAAGTTTCCGACCTTCAAATGGGTAAAATCTCTATTTCACGTGATGTTATTTTCCATGAAAATGTGTTTCCTTTTTCATCTTCCGCTGCTGTTTCACTTGTTGTGTTTCCACATACTCAAGATACTGATTGTGATGACACCATTATTCATCCGTCCATTCCACTGGAGCAGGATTCAGTCGACCCATCATTTTCTTCGTCGGTGAGTCCTGTTTCGGTTCCCTCTCCCTTTATTTCCACATCCCCACCCTGTCTTAAACGACCCACTCATGCACCTGGTTATCTTCAACTATATCATGTTGACATCAACCTTCCTTCTCTATATGTCCCTTCATCTCACTCGGCGTCGACCAAAGTGACAGGTATTTCTTACCCTTTGTCTATTGTACTCACATATGATCATTTATCTGCTCGACATCGTGCTTTCACCACTTCCATTTCAGCTGCCATCGAACCCAGTTCATTCTCACAGGTCATACGTGACCCCCAATGGTGTTTAGCCATGGAAGAAGAACCGGCATCCCTTGCTGCAATTAGGACTGGTCTCTTCAACCGTTGCCCCCTAGAAAGAAGCTGGTTAGATGTAAGTGGGTGTACAAAATCAAATTTTGATCCGATGGATCCATTGAGCGATATAAAGCACGCTTGGTTGCCAAAGTTTATGGCCAAATTGAAGGCTTAGACTATCGCGAGACTTTTGCTCCGGTTGCAAAACTGACTACAGTCCGCTTTCTTCTTGCAGTTGCCTCAGTCCAACAATGGCACCTCCACCAACTTAACGTTAGCAAAGCCTTTCTCCATGGTGATCTTGAAGAATATGTCTACATGTCCTTGCCTCCTGGTTTCGGACGAACGGGAGACACACGAGTTTGTAAACTTCATAAATCTTTGTATGGGCTTAAGCAAGCCTCTCATCAATGGTTTATCAAACTCTTTTGTGCTCTTAGAAAGGCTGGTTATCAACAATCCAAGGCAAACTATTCATTGTTCGTCCGAAACCATGATGGTAAATTCACTGCCTTCCTTGTCTATGTTGATGATATTATCTTGGCAAGGAATAACATACAAGCAATTGAGGATACCAAGTCTTTTCTTATGAAGCAATTCAAGTTGAAAGACCTTGGCCAATTAAAATATTTTTTGGGCATCGAAATTGCTCGCTCT